GCCCCCCGAGCGCTTGAAGAGGGCTTCAAGAGGACACTTATGAGGGCCGCAAGGAACACACATCGCCCTAATTCCTTTGGGAAGCGTCTATGTTGGGCATATGCGCTTTGTATTAATAGCGTCCACGACGGCCTCAGAGAATCTAAGAGCGCCGCAAGACATCCCAACAAGGCCTGCAAGACGGTCCAAGAAGCTCCCAGGATCGCCCCAAAACGTCCCACAGAGCCCTCCAAGACGACCTCCGTAGGCGCCTGTGGATCCCAGAGCGCTCTGAGACAGTCCAAGAGGCCCACAAGACACCTCACTCTGCACCCCTCCCCGCTCCTCCCAGAGTCCTCCCCATCCCTCCCCGCTCCAGGCAAGTGTGCGCGAGGCGGTTGTATCTCTGGCCGCGAGATCCTGCCAGTGTATACTTACATGTACGACCACCCTTCGGGTGATAAAGAGGTTGTGCGTGTGGCGGTGGGGGTGAGGAAGGGGAACCAACTGGAGCTACAACATAGCATTGCATCGCACAGCAGAGCATAGCATAGCATCGCATAGCATCGCACAACACATCATAGACGAGCATCGCGTAGCATAGCATAGCATAGCATCGCATAGCATGTCATAGCATCGCATCGCATCGCGTCGCATATACTAGCATATCATCGCATGGCACAGTATGGCGTAGCATAGCATAGCATAGCATCGCATCGCACAGCATAGTATCGCATCGCATCACACCGCATAGCTTAGCCTCGCATTGATAACATAGCGTACTATGCGGGCCGAACCGTACAATGGCCGAAAGTCCGTCCAAACGGCGCTCTCGCCTCGGCGCGGGCAGCACACCGCCAGCGTCACCTGCACGCCGTGGCCAGCTAAAGTTTAAGAGCGAATCGTGAGGATGTCTCAGCAGAAACCGGCTTTCTTGGTTCAGATGGGCGGGCTGGACGACACGGGCGAATCAAACGCACGTTCGGGCCTGCGGCGGCCGCCCGGGACGGTCAGGGCACCCACGAGGCGCGCGCTCGCCGTCGACGGCGGGGCGCGGCTGCGGGAGAGCAGCCCGAGGCGAGGAGGCCCTCCCCCCACGAGCGATGCCCTGGCAGATTGGGCCAGGTTGATTGCCGCCAGTTTCCGTCGAACGCGTGCGGATCAAGGGTGCGACGGTGATAACGGATCATTGTGCAGGCAGTTGCACGTCTCGTGGAATATGTTTATTTCCGTGTTTTGCGTCGTGAATTCTTGTTATCCGTGTCGCGCCTCCGTCTACTCACTCCCTCCTCCTCCTCCTCCTCCCTCCTTTTCCATATCACGATCAGAATTATCGCGATGTGACAGGCCTCGCACTTGGGCAACACAAGGGGGTGCCGCCAGGGGATAATTAGGACACTTACCGGTTCGTGCCCAGATTGTGGGGATGTCTCCAGCGGTTCGCTTGTTTCACGGATGTAGGCGCGTCTTTATCAGGGCCGCGTGGTGTTCGCGATGTCGCAACAAACGTTGCTGGGCGCCACAATGGGGAGCGACCACGGGGTGGGACACTTGCCCACTTGCGGTCAGCATTCGGGGATATCTCACGCGAGACGTTGGCTTTTTGAGGTGGGTGTGCTTTTTTCAGGGCCGCCACGAAGGAAGCGAACACTCGGATCAGTCCCGGCAGTCGCCGCGGTACTGGGAAGACCGTCGGATCGATTATTTCGTTGTCGATTTTTTTTGGCGCGTACCGTTCAAACCTTCAGGGTGGCCCAGTGTTGGCAATTTTTGCGCGGTGGTTGCACGACGAAGGTGGGCGCACCATAGAACCCTTCACGACAGCCCATCGTTGTAAAGATTTTCGTCGCGGTTGTAAGACGAGCGCGGGCACGGTGATCGCGCGCATTTGGGTGTTCACATTCGTTATGGCGTTCGCATGTGGTTCGCTAGACGTAAAATTTGTAAAGATCTTGGACGTGACAAATCTGTGATGAGCCTTGGCTAGGTCGTGTGCGGGCCTTCACTGGGTTCTGGGTAGGCCATGTATCAGCTCTTGAAAGGCCGCCAGGTAAGCCTGAGGCAGGCATTGGATAGGCCGTCGGGCTGACCTTGGACAGGCCTGGGGGTTCGTGGGCTGGCATTGGGCAGGATCCGAGGGGAGCGGTGCTCTGGCGCCGCCTGGACCGCAGAAAGGAGACCCACCTTCTGCAGGCCCACGGCAACCTGGGGCTCCCCTTCACATTAGCTTGAGCTTGATGTTCTGCCTTCGCTGTGAGCGTCCATTTTCGATCCAAATTATGTGAAGTCCAGCTGTATGCGCTTGAGCTTGAACTTCCGCTCAACGCGCGGAAGCTTCGCTCCATTCTATAGTTCTCTTTTAGCTTGAGCTTGAACTTCCGCTCAACGCGCGGAAGCTTCGCTCCATTGCCATAATTCGTGGGAATGCCGAGACATTGGGTTTGCTTGAGGTGGGCCTTGGACGCTCTGGGTCGTCTAGGCCTTGGATAGGCGTAGAGTGCGTGAGGGGTGTGCCGAAATCGGGCCCATTGAGCCGTCTTGAGAGGTACGTAGCTGTTTCTTATGTCTTGTTTCGCCGATCGGCGCGGGCCCCCGCCCCCTCCTCCCCAAAGACCAGATCTTGGCTGCTTAAAGCGGCTGCTTCAACCAGGTTGATTAAGCACTGGGGCCCGCCCCCCCTCCTCCCCCCGGTGGACACACGAGCTGCTGCTGTACGTGTGTGAGTTGTTTTCTCGAGGCGCCCCCCTGGGAATGAAACAAAGGGTATGTAGGCAGTTGAAGTGGGATCATGCGGAATCCTATTTCGACCTGCGGCCCTTTGTATGTTTCATGGTTGCACGCCGAGTGGAACACGTCCACCGCGTCGACAACGAACATACTGTTTCGCGTTGCATGCCAAGTGGAATTCGTCCACCGCGCCCGCAACAGCTCCTCTGCCGCGTGGAATGTGATTCCATTGGTCCGCCAAAAAGGGTGTGGAAAGGAAAGGGGTTGAGAGGGTTTGCTGAGAGGAGAATGCAGGATTAAGGTCGACTGGGGCTCATGGCGTGCATCCGTGGGGGCATAGAGGGATGGTGCGGTTTGCTGATTGATCATGATTGATAGAAGTCTTTCTGCTCTCCGATGCTGCGAACCGTAGACCGTCGCCACATCTTGCTAGAACCAAAGCGCGCGCGCAGCGCGCGCGTGGTTCTAGTATTCTAGTAGTATATATATATATATATATATATATATATATATATATGTGTGTGTGTGTGTGTGTGTGTGTGTGTGTGTGTGCGTGCGTGCGTGCGTGCGTGCGTGCGTGCGTGCGTGCGTGCGTGCGTGGCGCTCGCCCTGCCTCCTGCTCTCCCTGGGCCCGGCGCTCTCCCATTTGGCGTGGCCCCTCCTGTTTCCTTCGCCCACCGGCTCGCGTTTGCTGCATTTGGCGCATCGCTGAGTCGTCGCCGCCCCGCGCCCATGCCCTGCGCCTCGCAGGCCCCCTGGTCTCGGCCCTCTGCCCGCCCCCTTCGGTCTGCTGGCCCGCCTTCCTCTGGCGGCCTCTGCTCCGCGCCGCTCCCCAGGAATGGGCCCTTGTCTGGGTCGCCCGCCCCGTTGCTCGCTGGGCCACGGTGGCGCCCGTTTGGCGTTCTTGCGCCTGCCCGCTTCTGCCTCTCGCCCCCCGCCGCGCCTCGTAGGCCCCCAGGTCTCGGCGTTATGGCTCATCCCTGGGGCCGCGCCTACCAGTTCACTGGGTCGAGTCTCTGATTCCCTTGTGGTGCTCCCCCACTGGCCGCCCAGTCTGCTGGGTTGCTCCCCCCCCAGCTTCAGCTCAGTGCAGCTCACTGCAGCTCAGTGCCGACGCTGGTTCCCCCCCTCGGCGATTCCCGTGCCGCGGCCGGCGGCTCGCCTGAGTGGGCCCGGCTTCCTCACTTCCTGTCGCGCTGGGACTCTACCTTCTCCGTGCATTGCGGCCTTCATTTGCATGCAGCGTGTTCTTTGTTGCCTATCCGCTGGAGCAGTCGCCTTCCGCCTAGCGGCCGACGCAAACAGGTATGTGTGTATGTATGTATGTGCGGTGATCCTGCCTAGTTGCCGACGAAAGAGAGAGAGAGAGTGTGTGTGTGTGTGTGCGCGTGCGCGTGCGCGTGCGCGTGCGCGTGCGCGTGCGCGTGTGCGTGTGCGTGTGTGTGTGTTTTCACTCCAAGCCCAACCACCGTGCGTGGGTTGTGTGTTGTAAGCTTTGTGGGCGTTCGTCGGAATCTCGTGGGAGGCCTCTCGGGGGTGCCTTTCGGAGGCAATGTTTGGGCCTCCTGGGGGCCTCCTGGGGCCGTCTCGGGCGCCTGTTGGGCCGTCTTGGGTCGTTTTTGAGCTGTCTTGGGGCCCTCTTGGAAGCCTCTTGGGCTGTCTTGGGGTGGTCTTGGGGGGCTTCTTGAGCCGTCTTGGAACGTCGGAAGCCGGAGAGGCGAGACCGCCCAAATTCTTACAACAAATCTAAAATGAGTTTTGCCTGTGGGGGCGCCTTGCAAGCCTCTTGCGCCATCATGAGGCCATCTTGGGCGTCTTCGAGCGATCGTTCGGCGACTCGGGGCCCTCGGGGGCATGGCCGCAGCGAGGCGGGTCCAGAGGAGGTGGGTGCCCCTTAAAAGAGTACAGGAACCGTTCGAGACAGCACTTGGCATTCTACCACGCGTCAAGTTGCCAGGGAGGCACAGTAGCGGATTTTTGTTATTCTGCCTCCCTGTCCTAGTTTACGTGTATCTCTCGTTCCCTCTCTCTCTGCACATCATGACCAACTTTGGACCAAGCTCACTCGAGGACAAAAAGTACATGCCCTGCAAGGGGAGGAGGAGGAGGAGGAGGAGGAGGAGGAGGAGGAGGAGGAACCGCAGCAGCAGGCGGGTGAGGAGAGGAAAAATGAACACGCGAAGAGGAGAGGCGGGATGGGAGGAGTGCGCGGGGACAAGATGCAGGAGGGAGAGGTGGGGGAGGGGTAGCAACTCGCAAGTCCAGTAGGAGATTTTTTGGTCCGCCTGCCGCCAAGGACGGGATTCCGAGCGGTCGAGCGTGCTGGACAAGCGCCAGTGTTCGGCGGATTCTGAGGAGTGGGACTGGCCCGCCCTTGGCAGCCGCCCCCCGCCTTTGAAGCGACTGCGAGGCCGAAAGCTGGGCTTCAGCTTAGCCAAGCCATCGGGCCACGCGTTCCCCGAGTGGGTTTCGAAAGCTTTCGGGAAACACGGAGTCGGGCGAGCTATCGGACCAGGTGGTTTCTGAGTTTTCGGGTTTCCTGGAGGACGTCTTGAAGGTCTCCTGGGCCGTCGTGGAAGCCTCTTACGGGCCTTTTGGGCAGTCTAAGGCAGTCTTGAGGCCATCTGGGGCCCGTCTTGGGTGCATCTTGAGGCACGTTTCGCTGTCTTGGAGGCCTTCTCGCCCGACTTGGAGGCATCTTGGAGGCCATCTTGTCCGTCTTGGATGCCATCTTGGGCCGCCTTTGGGCCCTCTTTGGGCCATCTTGGGGGCATCTTGGGGCCCTTTCGGGAATCTCTTGGGCTGTCATGGGGCCATCTTGGAGGCCACAAGAGGAACATCTATGAATGTCGTCCTTTCGGGTCTTCCTGGTGGAGCTCTTGGAGGGCTCTTTGGGCTCTCTTGGGCAGTCTTAGGGCAATGTTGGAGCCATCTTGGGCCGTTTTGGGGACTTCTTGGACGAACTTGAATGCATATTGGGTTCTCTTGGGCCGTCTTGGGGACATCGTGGACCATCTTGGGCGGACATGGAGGCCATCTTGGGCCATCTTGGATGCCATCTTGGGCCAACGTGACCGTCTTAAAGGCCATCTTGAGCTGTCCTGAAGACCTCTCTTGGGCCATCCTGGGGCAGTCTTAGAGGCTTCTTGGGCGCTCTCGGGGTAATCTTGATGGCCTCGTGGGCCGTCGGAAGGCCGCAAACGAGCAGCCCCCCTGATCCTTCAAACACCTACAGCGAAACAATGATGTTGGCCTCTTGGGGCTCTCTTTTGGGGCCTCTTTGGGCTCTCTTGGACTGTTTTGGCGGCCTGTTGGGAGGTGTTGGGTTGTCTTGGGCCATCTTGGGCAGTCTTGGGTGCATCTTGGGCCGTCTTGGAAACATCTAGGGGCCTTCTTGGGCCCACTTGGGGCCATTGTGGCCGTCTCGGAGGCCATCTTGGGCGTCTTCGAGGCCTCGTGGGTCGTCTTTGGGCCCTCTTTGGGCCATCTTGGGGACATCTTGGGGCGTCCTGGAGCAATCTTGGAGGCTTCTTGGGCGCTCTTAGGGGCGATCTTGCTGGCCTCTTGGGCCGTCTTGAGCCGTCGGAAGGCCGAAACGGAGCAAAAGCCAAAATCCTTCAAAAACCATTGACACAAACACTTATTTTAACCTCTTCGGGACGTCCTGGAGGAACTCTTCGAGGCCTCTTGGGCCGTCTTGGAGGCCTCTTGGAGGCCCTTTGCGCCGTCCTGGGCCGTCTTGGAGGTTTCTTGTGCGAACTTGGGGGCATCTTGGACTCTCTTGGGTCGTCTTCGATGCCATTTTGGACCATCTTGGACGAACTTGGAGGCCATCTTGGGCCATCTTGACCATCTTGGAGGCCATCTTGGAGCCGTCTGGAGCCGAAACACCCTCTGCAACCACACGTTACGCATCTCCGGCGGGACGGGCCGAAACCTCAGGAGGCGTCCTTTTGGAAAAGAACCAAAAGCGAAAGAGTGGAAACACGCCAGGCACCCCTGCGATGAATCAACAGGGGGCGGCGGATCGAAGACGCCTACGGCGAAACACCGCCGCCCCCTGCCTCTTTGGAAGCGCCAGTGTGGCCAAACGTTGAGGCCAGACCTGCCAAGCTATCGGACCATGTGTTCCCCGAATGGGTTTGGAAAGCCTTCGGGGAACACGTGGGCATCTTGAAGGTCATCTTGGCCGTCTGGAGGCCATTTTGACCCTTTCGGGCCTTCTTGGAGGACGTCTTGGAGGGCTCTTGGGCCGTCTTGGAGGCCATCTTGAGCGTCTTCGAGGCCTCTTGGGCCGTCTCGGGGGCCTCTTGGGGCAGTCTTGGGCCTCTTGGGAGATCTTTGGGGGTACTTGGGCCGTCTCGGGCTGTCGGAAGGCCGAAAAGAAGCAAATGCCACAATCCTTCGAAGACGCTGGGGAAATCAATGTTTTTGGCCTTTTCGGGCTTCCTGGAGGCCCTCTTGGAGGCCTCTTGGGCCGTCTTGGGCCATCTGAGGGCCATCTTCGGCCGTTTTGGTGGGATCCTGGCCCGTCCGACGCCGTCGGAAGCCGTTTGAGGGGCATCGCTGGCCGTCTGGGTGTCCCTCTCGGAAGCTCCAAGGGGCAGTATTCGGAAGACATCTGGCGTCTTACAAGCTCCGGGTCAGGGCCGTCTGTGTTGTCGCTTGGGCGTTTCTGAGGCATCTTGGCGGTCTCTTGGGCGATTTTGGGTGATATTTGGGGTCTTGGGCCGTCTCGGGCCGTCGGAAGGCCGACGAGAAGCAAATATCAAAACCTTATATCTATATATATATATATAGAGAGAGAGAGAGAGAGAGAGAGAGAGAGAGAGAGAGAGAAATTTAAACAAACAACCTCAGGAAAACCATTGTGTTGGGCCTTTTCTGGCCTTCCTGGAGGCCCTCTTGGAGGCCTCTTGGGCCGTCTTGGGCCGGCTTCGAGCCAACTTCGGCCATCTTGGTGGGCTCCTGGCCCGTCTGACGCCGTCGGAAGCCGTTTCGGGTGCCTTTCTAGGCCGATTTGGGCCCCTCTTGGAATGCTCCAGGGCCGTCCTAGAGGCCATCTTGGGAGTCTTGGAGGCCTCTTGGGTTGTCTTTGTGCCCTCTTCGCGCCGTCTTGGGGCCTCTTGGGCAGTCCTGAGGCCATCGTGGATGCCTCTTGGGCGCTGTGGGGGCGATCTTTAGGGCCTCTTGGGCCGTCTTGGGTCATCGGAAATACGAAAAGGAGCAAATACGACAAACCTTAAAACACCAAAATAATATCAATGATTTTAGCCTCTTCAGGCCCTCCTGGAGGACCTCTCGGAGGCCTCTTGGGCCGTCAAGCTTTGAAAGCAGGCTGTTGTTCTTACTACACAGCCCATCGCATGAATAGCGCGATACCGTACTTCTGTGCTACTTCAAAGCGCGTCGCGCATGCTACCGGCACCCAGTCGCCACATACATTATTATTCATTGTTTCAGTTCTGATGTATCTATGTCAGTATATTCTCGAGACTTGCGAGCTCGAGCGTTGTTTGTTCAGGTATGTCGAGCATGTCATCGCGATGTGCGACGTTTCGCGAGCGGGCTCACGCCGCAGTCGCCCGTGACGGCGAATCGACAAGCAATCGTCGAGCCACTTGGGCTATCCGACGTCGTTGCCGCCTGCGGGAATCCGAATCCACAAACGCTTTGATTCGGTGCCTAGTTCGCCAAGGGTGAACATCCTCTCGAGCTCTATCCTGGACTCAGCTCCGGAGAAGCACGACGAGATTGGTGAGACCGCCCATGTGACCTTACAGCTAGCGCGAGGAGCTTCTTGACCGCACGGTAGTGTAGAGCAGGGCCCCGAACACCAGCATTTACCAGACTCGGCGGCGCGCGGAGGGGGGAGGAGAAAAGGGCAGGCCTTCTCGGAGGACGGCGAGGCTTCGGAGAAGGCCCAGGAAGCTCCGCAGAAGACCAGAGGCAGAGGCCGTTGGAGCCTTCGAACAGGCCCGCCCCCTTCCCCCCCCCGCGCGGCGGCAGGCCTTCGGGAGTCCTAGCTTGGGCTCCCGGCAGCTGTTCGGGACGATTCGGGTACCCCCAGGGACGGTCTCGGCGAGGCGCAGCTGCTGGAGAGGCCTTCAAGGCTGGAAAACCTTTGGAAACCGACGAGCACGCCAGAGCGTGTAGACTTTCCCCCCCTGGGCGTGCCGCCGAATCCTGGTGCCTTCGCGGCCGATCCGTTGGCGGAAGCGGCGGAAGTGGCGGCACAGGCACAGGTTCTATTAGTAGGGGAGCCGGGAGCGTCGGCAACGCGAGGCGCTGCGGGCTCATCTATGCTGCAGGATTTCTGCCTCGCGGTTGTCGTTTTGCCTGCAGCGAGTGTCGACATTCGTGAGCAGAGGGCGGTGTAGTCTAGCCTCTCCACGTGGGGGGAGGCGGCCCAGTGGGTCAGGCCGATGCACCAACGCTGCACTGAGAACGGTGCGTCCAGGGCAAACGCACACTGCCTCTTGGCAGAACGAGGCAGCTCTGTTGGTCCGCACGGCTATGCAGCTCATGCTCCCTTGTGAGGGATGCGCTGATGGCTAGTGTGTGCTGCCACCTGGAGGGGCGGGCTACTTAGCTGGTCTGAACGGTTCTCAGTGCAGACCTCTGTAAAGGTGCATTGCGGGCCATCGCGCACTGACACCTGGAGCACTGTTGGTCCAACAGTTTCTCCACGCCATGACAGGAAGTACTTTCTCTTGGCGGATTTCGCTCCCAGGATGTCTCCCTCATGGCGTCCCTCACGTCCTTGGCACAAGCCTCGAGATTCATGACTTGGGTGCTGAGCGCAGCGACGAGTTGTGCTAAGTTCAAGAGTTGTGCGGTATATGCCCTCCTCGCCTTCCTCGTTCTCCTCCCACGTCCTCGTCTCAGCTGCGGCTGCTGCTGCTCATCCTTGTCCTGGCCCTCTCTCTGCACGGTGCTCTCCTCTAGCCTTTTCCTTCTCGTCACCCATCTTCTTGGCAAGTGGTGACGGTCTCGCCCTCTTCCTCCTCCTCCTCCTTTTCCACTCTCATTCCCCTCCTCCGTCCAGCCCCTTTCTTCTTCAGTCCCCTCCTCGGGCCATTCTTGAAGAGGGAATCGCTGCCGAGTCTCCAGGACAGCATGTCGCACGGTGGCGAGAGCTTCCACAAGAAGGTCATGTGGAGGATTTCCTCGAAGCTGTTCGCGGTCTCTGGCTCCACCACCCCGATGGCTAGCTGGGACGACTTCGTGGGCAGCACCCATTTCGAGGCTCCGGAGCCCAAGCTCCTCCCCCTCCCTCTATTTCGGCGACGCGCCGAGCGGGGAAAGGGGGGGGAGGGGACGGGCCTTCTCAAAGGGCGGCGGGGCTTCGCAGAAGGCTCAGCAGACTTCCCGGAAGGCCGGAGGCCCTCTGAGCCTTCTGAGGACGCCCTCCCCTGTATCTTCCCCCCTGGGCACGCCGCCGAGTCTGACTTTTCGGGTCACAACTCGGGCCTCCGGCGGTTGCTCAGTACGAGTCGAGATTCGGGCCCCGCCCGAGCGCTCTCGACGAGGCGCAGCTGCTGGGCAGCACCCCGAGGCCAGAAGACCGACCAGAACCGACGAAGGCGCAAGAAGACCCCGAACATCCCCCCAGGGTGCGCCGCCGATGTTTCCGTGTCGGCCTGCCGATCCGCTGCTGCTGCGCTCCCGCTCCCCTCGTCCTGGGGGTACGGGGAGGGCGAGCGGCAGTCGGGTATGGGGGCGCACCGTCTTCGGGGAGGCGCAGGCATGCACTCAGGCACGGGATCAGCGACGGGCCCAGCTTCCATGCAGCTTCGGCGAGCTCCGTCGTCAAGTCAGGCGGCAGTGACCTCATGTTTCAGGGGGCACGTTCCCCGATCCGTGGATCTGGTACCCACGCGCCAGGTCCACGGATCCGCAATCCATGTTAGCGTGCGCCCGACTTCGGTGGTTTCCCGAGGTCGCCATTGGTATCGCTATTATACTGAATGGCATCCAGATGGCGTTCGAGATCCAGCACCAGGGTCTTAAGCTGGGCAGCTCTCTCAACTACGGGTTCTACCATAATCCTGACCCGTGGCCTGGGGCCACGTATCTATTTGAGGGTCTTGGTTTTTTCTTCGGTGTCATATTCACTATCGAAATGACTCTCAAAATCATGGTATTGCGTTTGAGGTTTTTCAGCAATGCGTGGAATTTGTTCGACATGGTAGTGGTTGCCGGCTGGCTCGTCGAGACCCTCGGCGAGACGCTCCAATACACTGGTCACCCGCCATTCCGCCTATTTCCTGGAGGAGACGTAATCGGAGTGTTTGGGCGAGCTCTGCGAAGATTCCCAGGGAACTTGGGGGTGCAGAGGGCATCGGGTGAAGTCTGAAGGGAAGCCTCCGAGGTAGGGGGCAGAATGTTCGCCGAGACAGAGGCCGAGGTATATGGGGGCAGAGCGATGGAGGCAGTCAGACAGAGGCCCACAGAGGTTCACCTGCATCTGTTTTGAGCTCAATGTGATAGTTGGGCGGGGCCGGCGTTTGGTCAACGCTGACCTGGCCCAGTTTCCCCATCAAGGCAAAGGAGCGATGTGCGTGTGCGTGTGCGTGTGCGTGTGTGTGTGTGTGTGTGTGTGTGTGTGTGTGTGTGTGTGTGTGTGTGTGTGTGCGGCGTTAGGGCTGCGATTGCTCGTGCTGCTCGCTGTAGCGCTTCTTCTGCGAGCGCGTGCGCAAGGGCAGTGGGAAGGTATGCCAACGTAGGAAGGGGCTCTGCAAGCACCGCAAGATCAGGGGCGGCAAATGATACATCGATTATTTCGAGGGCAGACATTGAGGGAAGTGTGCTTCAACCTTTCCTTTCTGGTATAGTTCAGGCTTTCGGTGGCTCGCGAGGGCCGCAGCGGCGCCCCCTGAAGGTTTTGTCTTGAGGCTCAGTTGCCAGGCTGGTCTTTGCTCCCATCCCACCCTGGGCCACCTCCTCAGGCGCTCGGTCTCCTCCGCGGGATGCGCTGACCTTGCTTCGGTGCTGCCACGGTTGAAAGAAACAAGTTTGCACCACCTGGACGGCACGACAACTGGTGATACGACCCCCCCCGTCCCCGACCTTAACATTGAGAGCGGACGCGCACGCTGAAATGGGATGTATCTTCTTTTGCTGTTCGACGGGCCCCAGGAGATGTCACAACTACTAATCTGAAAGTCGGGGGCGCGGGGGAGCAGCAGTGCCATCCGATTCGCAGCGCAACCCGAAATGGTGCAAACATGTGTCTTCTTTCAACAGCATCAAGGGGGAGGACACCTCCAGGAGGGGGTTGGCGGGCTTGTGGAGGAGAGAGCCTCGGCGGATACCACCGTCTTCCGCATCGCGCGCCTGCTGCGACTTCTTCGCCTGGCGCCGCTTGGGGCAGGGCGGAGCAAGCCTCGCCGCTTTCCTCTCCCCCCCTGAGTGGCAAGAGAGTGGGGGGATGGGCTCAGGGGGGGACGCATCGACCTGCACTCGCCCAGCGATCGCCGAGATGGACCCAATGGCCCACTCCGCCCAGGACCACGCGGATTCGCTGTCGAGGGCCCCCTCCCCGTATTTCCCGCTCCCCGTCCCCTTGCACTTCCTCCCAGCCCCACCCCCTACGTCTGTACCCGTCATTCCTCCGCCTCCTCCGCCCGTTCTTCCCCCACCATCCTCGCACGAGGAATGATCCGTCCGTTTCGATGGATTTGCTGGCCTGGAGTTTCAGGACTGTGTTGTCGCTCCGATAGGCCTCCCGTGGTTCTGTGCCCCGAGTTACGGACTAAGAGACACATGTGGTAGTGCGCACTATGGCAGATGCAGTGCTGGTTAGGGGCATGGCTGATGCTCGGTATGATGTGGCAGATGGGTAAATGAGCGTTTTGCGCACAACTCCCCCCCCTTCCCCCACTCCTTTTCACCCCCCTTCCAACCCACTACCCCCCACCACTCAACAGTACCCCCCCCCCCCCCCAACAACCACCTCCCCAACACCCCCAACCCCCAACCGCCAAAACCCGCCCTCCCCCCCCACCCCCCACCCCACCCAACCCACCCGTCCAGACAAACCCAAACCCCACACCCCCCCCCCAGCCCCCCCCCCCGCCCTCAAATCACACCAAGGCCAGCCACAAACCCCCACCCCCCCAACACCCCATACAGCCCCCAGCATCAACCCCACCCAACCCACCAAAACCAACACACCCCCGACCCCGAATCCAAACCCTTTTCCTCAATCCTCTCCCCCTCTCTCCCAGAGCAACATTATTCAAGAGGGCTGCGGCATTGCCTTTGTAAAACTCCGAGAGAGAATAGGGCGGCTTTCGGATGTTGTATGGCTGTTCCAGTTTCCGTCGTTTGTTGCATTCTTACAATTTACTTTTTTTTTTTGCTATTGGTTTTTTTTTTTGTTTTTTTTGGTTTTACGTTTGGTTTTCCGTTTTTTACCTTGGCGTTTTTTAATTGAAAACTATTATTTCTCTGAAATTTTTTTTTCTTTACATTCATTTTTTTTTTTTCTTTTTTTTTTTTTTTTTTTTTTCTCCTGCGTATAGTTTTTTTCTGTTTTGGACCCTACCTTTTGTATTTTTCTTTCTCCTCAATTATTTTTTTTTCTTCTTCTTTTTCTTTTTTGTAGTGATCCGCGTCTGGTATGGGGCTTTTTGGGAGCCTCTCGAGGCCTCGGCGGCCGGCCTCATGGAGCCTTTTCGCGGCTCAGATGGTCCGTTTTGGGCCTCTGAAGGGGCTCTATCTAGGGGATGAGGCGGGCGTCGTTCGGGGGGGGGCTACCCGAGCCACATTGTGGGGGAGGGCTCCCGGAGCCTCCTGCGAAATCATCCTCGTGGGCTTCTCTGTCTGGCATACTCGCTCCTCCCTCCCTCCCGATCGGAACACCGTAAGGTAGAGGGGAAGGATCGGAGGAGGTAGGGGTCAGTCAGGATAGGGGAGAGGCTTGCTGATCTCGGGCCTCGCAGCACCCGCATGACTTTCGCCTTTCCTTTTTGTGTCCCTCCTTTTCCTTGCTTCTTGGACCTGCCTCTTCGCAGTCAGGCCACCGTGTCCTAGTCCTAGTCCTTTCTCTTCCTTTCATTTGCCTCCCCCAGTCTGTCCTTGTCCCTGCTTTGGCCACGCCTTCTCCTCCGCTCCTTCCTTTTGCCTGCCTTGATCCTTCACGTTGTTTGGCTCCTCCCGGTCCCACATGTCATGCACCCGTACCGTCGTTGACAGAGCCTGCAGTCAGAGACAAGATCTTAGATTTTCTTGCATCCCAGTGGAACACGTACAGCCTGGATGAGGAAGGACGGAAAGAGGGAAGGCGGGGCTATCGGAGTCGAAGAGACGGGACGTGATGGGGGACGGATGGATGGGGATAGAGGGAAGGAGTTGAGAAAGAGGGGAATAAGGACGTTGGCGTTCGTAGGGATGAGGATAATGCTGATGGTGATGAGGATGATGCTGATAATGATGACGATGATGATGCTGCAAATGATGAAAACGATGATGATAAAGATGATGAGGATGAGGGCGAGGATGCTGCTGATGCTGCTGCTGATGAGTATGATGATGTTCATGATGATGACGATGACGATGATGACGACGATGACGATGACGATGACGATGATGAAGATGAGGATGAGGATGATGATGTTGATGCCGATGCTGATGATGCTGATGATGATAGAGCTGATGATGATGATGATGATGACGTTGACGTTGACGTTGACGACGATGACGATGACGATGAAGATGACGATGATGAGGATGAGGATGAGGATGAGGATGAGGATGAGGATGATGATGATGATGATGATGATGATGATGGTGATGATGGAGGAGGGATGAGGATGGATGGGGAGAGAGGGAAGGATCGGAGAAAGAGGGGGAGAAGGACGTTGGCGAACGTATTGATGATGACGACGATGACGATGATGATGATGATGATGATGATGATGATGATGATGATGATGATGATGATGATGCTGATGATCATGATGATGGGCCTGATGCTGATAATGATGATGATGATGCCCATGCTGATGATGCTGATGATGATGAGATGATAATGACGACGATGATGATGGTGGTGTTGATGATGCTGCTGATGATGCTTTTGATGATGGTGATGATGATGATGATGATGATGATGATGATGATGATGAGGATGAGGATGTTAATGATGATTGTGATGGTGATGGTTATGGTGATGGTGGTGGTGCTGATGATGATGATTGTGATGGTGGTGGTGATGCTTATGGTGCTGATGATGCTGATGCTGATGCTGCTGCTGATGCTGATGCTGCTCATGATGATGATGCTGATGCTGATGCTGATGCTGCCGCTGATGCTGATGCTGCTGATGAGGATAATGATGCTGAAGCTGATGCTGCTGCAGATGCTGATGCTGATGATGATGATGCTGATGATGATGATGCTGCTGCTGATGATGATGATGATGATGATGATAATCATGATGACAATGATGATGGTGCTGATGATGATGAGGATGATGATGGGGATGATGGTGATGATGATGATGCTGATGATGATGATGGTGATGATGATGATGATGATGATGATGATGATGATGATGATGATGATGATGATCATGAGTTGGTGTGATGTGGAGATGATGATGATGATGAGATGATGATGATGATGATGATGATGATGATGATGATGATGATGATGATGATGATGATGATGATGATGATGATGATGATGATGATGATGATGATGATGATGATGATGATGATGATGACCCGACGAGGAGGAGAAGGAGGAGGAGGAAGAGGAGGAGGAGGAGGCGGAAGAGGCGGAGGAGAGGGAGGATGAGGAGGAGGAGGAGGAGGAGGAGGAGGAGGAGGAGGAGAAGGAGGAGGAGGAGGAGGAAAAGCAGGGCGGGAATGAACATCTAGGGAGGAGGGGGGAGGAGCGGGGGGAACAGGAGGAGCAGAGCAGCTGAGCCCTGCAGAGCTCAGGGGGCGCCAGAGGGAGGGGAGTCCTGGACGTGCCCGCCCGCACCGTGCGCTCGGGCGCCCTGGCCATTGAGGCTCCCGCCGCGGCGGTGCTGAGAGGCCCTGTTCGGCCCCGCCTGGCGCGTCGCCCGAGCGGGCGCGCGAGCCGGAAGACCACGCCGCTCCGCCAGAGATGCGCGCGGGCAGGCAGGGCGGAGGGAGTTGCGCAATGGGCGGGTGGTAAATCGAGGGCTCGCGGTAGGGCGGAGGGAGTTGCGTAATGGGGGCAGGCAGGGCGGAGGGAGTTGCGTAAGGGGGGGTGGTACATGAAAGGGGGGATCGAGGGCTGCAGACAGGGCCCAGGGCATAAAGAGAGCCCCCCCCTGGTCGGGGCTCCAGAGACGGGGGTCAAGGCAAACGGGGGTCCGTCAGATGGGCGGATCTTGCAGGATCCTGCAGGTGCACTGACCTGGCTTTGGGTGCAGGCTCCTGCAGGATCCTGCAAGGCCTGACTGACCCAGGTTTGGATTGACCCGGGTTTGTAGATCCCCGACATGGGGCCCGAAGGTGCAGGAAGGGTGCACCTTTTTTCCCCCTCCCGCCGTTCATTGCCCCCCCCCATGAAGCAGCGCCCGAGCCAGAGATGCGCGGGCAGGCGGGGCGAGATGCTGGGGCTGCTGGCAGTGGCGGCCGTGGACTCCGTTTCTTGTTAGTTTTTTTGTTGCCCCGGAGGGAAGCCGAAAGTTTTCATCGGCTTCAGGCGGCTTCCCAGCCTCGGGATGCTTTCCGGCAGCTGCGCTTTGCCGAGAGCTCCAGAGGTGCTCGGTTCGCCCGGAACGGCTGCTGGAGGCCCGAATCATGTCCCGAAAGCTACCAGGAGGGGAGGGCGGAGGAGGAGGATGAGGAGGAGGAGGACCAGTAAACCCAAGCTGCATCAACGATGTTACAGTAACCCCTCCCTGCAAGTTCCCTCTTCATAGGTCGATCACTGTCTGGTAGTCTTAACTTGTTCCAGGGCAGAATGTCTGGGGCTTCAACGCCGTGACTCAACGTGACTGCTGCATCTGGTCAATCCTACGCTAAGGTGCCAGAACACAATTCCTGGGACTTCAAACCAAGGCGTCCTTCAAACGGTTGCACAGTTTTACGACGAATGCGCGCGGCGCTTAGGCAAGAGCCACGTTTTGAACAGGAGCCGCCCGCACTCCTTGAAATTGTTTCAAACTGTCAAGACGAACGTACGCGGCGCTAACGCGAGAGCCTCCGAATGAAAACGGACCGTCCTCCACGCGTGGAATGCTGTATATTTCAAGCTTCAGGATGATCAGAGCCAGTTGGTTTATCCCAGGGCGATGACGGCCGTCACTTGGGAGGGGTGGGGGGAGGGGGCCGATGACGTCACGTTTCGCGCCGGCGGCGTCTGGGAGTGCCTCGGGATGACAGGACGGGTAGCAGCAGCATGTAGGTGGTGATCTGCGCCACAGTGGGTGTGTACACCACAGTGCCTGTGTGCACCACAGCGCCTGTGTATACCACACCGCCTATGTACACCACAACAGCCGCGTGCAACACAGCGCCAGTGTGCACCACAGTGCTCGCGTGCACCACAGCGCTTGTGTACGCCATGAAGCCTACGTGCAACACAGCAGCTGTGTGCACAGCATCCGTGTACACCACGTGCCTGCGTGCACCACAGCGCCTGTGTACGCCACGGCGCCTGTGTGCACCACAACACCCGTGTGCAACAGAGCACCACTGATTGTTGCATATAGAATGTTGAAAGGAATCCGTATGACAAAATGGAGCGCCTGTGGATTCCACAAAAAACAATTGTTTTAGATTGGGTTTGGAATCCGTATGGACGCATGAATCTACG